AAAGACGTTGACATAAAAGATTTGTATGACTCGATACAAGAATTTTCGTTTATTTAAATATGGAGAGTAGTCGTACTCTTTTTCTTCAAGTTTTGTTCCACTAAATTTTATTGACAAGGATTTCACGAGGCAACATTTATTGCTCCAATTTTATTATAATTTTTGTAATGGTTTTCCATTCATTTCGAATTTTTATTTCATTAAATATTTGCCAAATTAGATTTTTAGTAAAATAGTTAGTGTAAATAATCAGCAAAAGAGGGGTATTCTAAAATTGTGAGATAATTATGGATGTCTATTTTAATCTTATTATAGTTTTAGCCCCTGTTTGAGCCACATTAAAATTTTCATTCTCATTTTTCTACTCATTTTCAATCACATTCTTCAATCAAATAATATTTTCCATCACATCAATAATTTTTCCTTCTTTTTTAACCACACATTCTCCATCAATCTACTANTTCTTTTTTAACCACACATTCTCCATCAATCTACTATTTCAAAATAATGTAGCTCAAACACACCCTTAACATCTATTTGGTAGGGATTAAAATTAGATATTTAGCAGATTTTAATAAAAATTGATAAAAAAATGTGCGATTAAAAAGTTGTGAATCTCATATAATACATGGTTAAAATTTATTATTAATTTTGATTAAATATAAAATTTTAATTTTAATCCGTTATTGGGCCCCACACAAGATATATAAATTTAAAATTGATGGCTTGATGTGATGGATAACGGTCATATTTTTTTATTTTTATGGATGAAAAATGATAAACAAATGGAAGCTTAAATATAATGTATTATTCTATAAGTTCACTTTATTCAAATTATAATTTGCATTTGAACCCTTACAAATATGAGTCGAATTTGTAATATGCTTAGTTTACGACTTCGGGTCTAGGGATGACAATTCGAACTGTTAAAATCGAAAATCGCGGTTAACCAAACCGAATAAGGCGAAAAAATCGAATTGATGGTGCAATAGGGTGGTTATGGTTTTGATTTTAATGACCTGATTCGGGGTGGGGCGGGTATGGTATTTAGCGGCGGTACCCCGCTCCGAACCGATTACCAGTTTAAAAAAAGTTAATTGGACAATTGGGCTTTCCATTAATCTTTCCCAAAATTAATTGGGCAATTTTGAGCTCTTGGGCTCAATTTGAAGGCCATATATATTTTTTAAAGTTAAACTCGGTGAAGCCCATTAGCCCCACGACCCAAACCATTCAATTCAAGTATCAACCCATTGCAATTTGAGGAAATTAGGTTTCAATTTAACCCTTCCTAGTTCCTTCACGTCCAAACGTCCTCCGCCTGACCGCCTGCTTCCTTCACATCTCAAACCTTAATCCGCCTCATTCTTTCACCGCTTCACGTCCCCTGCCTCTTCACGTCCAAACGTCCTCCGCCTAACTACCTCCTTCCTTCACGTCTCAAACCTTAATCTGCCTCATTCCTTCACCGCTTCACGTCCTCCGCTAGTCGCGGCTCGCCCAGTCCGCCAGTTTTTGTTTCATCCATGAAATTTTCGTGTTAAAACTCTTTTGCTTTGTAGGTTTCATCAAGATCAGTTTTTGTTTCATCTATCTAATTTTCTCGCGCCGGTACTAGTGCATATGTCTTTCTCTAAATAGTTTAACATAAATGTTATTATGATGTCTTTAATAGTGGTGCTTTTACATTTTTGTGTGTGTGTAGAATAACGGTGCGAAATGGCCAAATGGGCCTTTCTTCAGATGAACTTTTGAGATCAAGAGATTGGAGAAAATGATTGATTTTGCTAGCAGTTTGTTGAGATTTCCTTTTGCTTCACTTCTTGAGATCTAAAGGTGGGTATGTCCATTTTCATAGCAATTGTGCTTTTTCTTGGCTTGAAATTCAAGTGTTTGAAAAAATGTCGCATTTAATGATTTTTGCTTTTTTAGTTATCATTTGGGCCATACTAGGCACTTAATAGAAGTATTAGAGTTCTAATTTTTCAATTCTTGGATCATATTAGATATTCAGAATGAGTTTTTTACGTCAAAGTTCTAAATTTTTAGTTGGGTTCATGCATTTCTTGCCATTGTTGTATAAGATCCTTGAAAGCTACAAAGTGTAGGGAAAACTGGATTTTAGAATTTTTTTTTTTTTTAATCTCAAGAAATGGGTATGATCTTCATTTAATAGTAGATCTAACTTTTGTGTTCAAGAATAAATTAGAATTATTCATTTTGGTTTGAGGTTTTTTCTTTTAAATCTGATTTATGCTTTTCCAAATGAAATTTTATTTTGCTCATCTTAAACACAATTGAAAAAGATGAACAGTTCTAAGGAGTGGCTAAAAGTATAAATTTTTGTTCAAGTGGAATATTTTTTGCCTTCATATTGCATTGAAATAATATTGGTGCATGTAATTGAATGCTATGCTTATATGTATTATACTTGCGATCATGTTTTAGTTATTGATGT